TAGTTCGATCTGGAAGATCTGCATCTCATATTTCAAATCTATAACTTCCAGATGTCCACAATATACCTCTAGGACAACATCCTAAAATTTCATTACCATCCAACGGTCGGATCTCCGTCAATTTCCAAAACCAAGTGACGGTTAACATTCTATTTTATGAACTTACAACTCCAATTCCGAAAGATCCTTAAATCAGATTCCTGATCCTTAAGTTCCTATAATCCTCAAATATTACGTATTACAACGTATCAAAGTTTGGTGATGATCCGACGGTTGGATCATCGATTCACCTTTTGGCCTAACCACGAATCGTAACGAACTTAGGTCCAATTACTCAATTTACGTCCATCAATTATCAAAACTGAACCTAGAACCGTAAACACATGCTAAGAATGACATTGGCGGGCCATTGGCCACGCGCCGCCGCACGGGCCGTCGCGGGTGGCGGTCGGCCGCCCCGGCTCGCCGGAAAATCCAACTATTTCAAAAAATTCTCAAAAAATACAGAATTGAATATCTCAATGAGTATAGTAAACTTTATACCTGAGGCCAAGGCCAATTTGGCCTGGAAACACTTCAATTTCACCAAAATCCGTGCGGAACCCTAGAATTGGGTGAGTTCCAATTCGTCTTCAAATCAACTCCGTCGTCCCAACCAATGCTTGGGCTTTGTTCTAGGTCCTAAGGGAATGCTAAAGGTGTTAGTAATTGAAAGAAAACATTCAAGATTTGAAGAATTTGAACAAGAAAGTCGCGGCACCCACGGGTGCGTTCTTCACCAATTCACCATCAAATTTCATGATTTTTAGGGTGAAACATGAAGAGGGAAGGCCTAGGTGTTGATTGGAAGTGGTACCTTGATCCAATTTGTGAGAATTCCGGTGAAAATCGTCGGAATTTGGGTGTGGGTGTCGCGGGTCGAAACGGGTCGCGGGTGAAGACCTATTTTTCTTCATTCTCTCCTCCGCTTCTAGCCCTCTCTCCTTTCCTCCTTTCTCTGTTCCGATTGGGCGGTCTCCTCTGTCTCTTCTCCCTATTCGCCAGCACTCTTTCCTTTCTCTCCCGGAGCTTTTGCTCTCTCTTCCTCTGGTTGGGCAGTTTTGCCCAATCTCTTCTTCTTCTTCTTCTTCTTACACACACACACAAACCTTCTTTCTTCTCATCCCAGCCATCCATTTATTTCTTCATTAAATATGGGCCGTCCACTTTCATAAAAGAAATTCCAGATTTTACTAAATTATAATTCCTAAAATGCCCAAATTTCAAACGTTAATAAATTCTTCGATATAACTCCAAATCACGCACCGTCTACGCCCACGCGTCCGTAGCGATGAGTACTATGAGGATATGTCAAGAAAATAAATCTTAGATGGCACGATACAACGATTAACCTCGAATAATGCGCGTTCCTCAAAGGGCATTTTTGTAAAATCCTTTATTAAAACTTTAAAACTCTTAAAATCAGGAACGGGCTGTCACACTGGAAGTGGAAACGAGCCACACAGAAAAGGCTCACAAAATGCATAGCTGGCCTAAGGCACAAACCCAGCACCAAAGCAGTGGCAAGTTAGTAAAAAACAAAATGTCTAATTGAAATTGCACTGTAGCTAGGCTACAGTGCCACCCCTTCCCAACTTTAGACTAAAGTAATGTTTTGATAATCTTCTAATGTCAAAGGTGCTCTTATCATGTTTACTCATAATAAATGGTAAAAGTAAAGAATATGCTTGTCCGATATTTACTCCGTCAAATTGATTCTTAATTTGATTACTGATTTCCTTATGTAGTTGTACGTTAGAAATTGGAAAATCTCTTCCTATTAATAGAAAGATCCTAGATTTTATATTATATTTTTCTTGCATTTGTAATCATGAAATTGTATTTTTGATTAATGATGTTTTTTTATTTTATTTGATTTAAAAAATTATTACCTTAAAACAAATCCTTCTGTATTAGGAAACACGAGAAAATGAAAAAAAAATTAGAATAACTCTCTTTCTTCTCATACTAATTACAAGTACGTATAACAAGTCAAAAACCACTTAGTAATACGATTCAGTGATATTACTCTTCACTTGTAAGTGAGAGATCTTAAACTCGGTTCTTGTCGAAGTGAATTTGAACTTAACTATTAGGACTAGCCTAATGTTTTGCAATAATTCTTTTCTACCTACCCTTAGAGTGGCAGTTGCCCTACTAAACGGATTGAGATGCTTTATGAATCTTACACTCTAAAGTTCGTGGTCTGTATAATTTAAATCATGCGATCCTATTAGTCCATTTTATTGGTTCACCGCATAAACAATTTTTTTCTTCGACATACATATCTCTCTCTTGAACAGTCCGAATTGCTTAGTCCATGAGCTCTTAAGTCTGAGATGCAAAGAGAATCTCAATCCTTACTAACTCGTGTTTGGATCAAAACTTGAACTTTGGGCTCAGGAAAGGGGCTGGCCCAAAAGGATGCCTAAAGGAAGAATCGGCCTAAGCCCAGCCAAAGCCCAGAAAGTAGAAAAAGGGCTTTTCTGATTTGGTGCAGCTCATGAAAACCACTTGCTCACCTACCCAAAGGCCAAGTGGTATAGACTGATCAGCTATACAGCCCATAAAGTACTTTATAATGGCAGAACAAGTAAAAAAGCTGATAAGTCACTGCCTCTCAAGTTGCATTTGGGCAAGGCTGCTGCTACAAGAGGCCAAGCTGAGTTGTCTATAAAAGAAGAAAGAGAAATTAGGATTAAGGACACTCAAACAAACAAACAAATGCAAGCACAAACTCTGCTCAAAACCAGATTTGCCTTCAAAACGAAGCTGTAGTCAGCCCAAGCCTTCATCCCTCTCGAGACAAGCCTTCACTCAAACCCTTGTAATAGCTCTGCTACCCTGTTCAACCTTGCTGTAGTATCGATTTCTCTTTGTAAACTCCTCTCCTTACCTCTCCCTAAAAGCTCTCAGACCCTTGATAAGCCACAAAGATAGGAACCTGCAAGACGACCAGGCTTGCCCGACAAGGTTAAACCTTGCCCGACCTTCTTTGTTTTTGTCATTTCATTCATTAGCCTAGCCATATGTTGTATACTTCCAGTTGTATTCAAGTTATATCTAGTAAGATGACTATTAAAAGAATCTCTTAGTACTTGGATCCGATTTGAATATATCTTCATTGTTCAAACCAGATCTAAGTTCTAAGCCCTCGGGCATGTAAATTTGATCAGTTGAAAGTCCTTGGCCTCAAGGCATAAAAAAAACCTTATGTGGACTTAACCCATCCACGATAGTCCTTGATAAACAAGAAGTCCGAAGTTACTTGGGGCGCAAGTAATCGACCTACCCCTTAGTTTTATTTCTATTATATTATGATTATCATAGAACGCTTAAGCATGGAATGGATTCTGATAGAAAGCCTCAAGGCCTACACCTAAGGCCCCACAAAGGCACCTATTTGGATTCATTCCATTCCGTGGTCTAGAACATTTGAGTATAAGAACGAATTCTGATGGGAAGCCTAAAGGCCTACACCTCAGGCCCCACAAAGGCACCTATTTGGGTTCGTTCTATCTCTCAGATTCGGGTAATCAGAAGTATAATAGTTGTAAGGCTCCTGCAATCAATCGAACCAATATTATATGTTCGAGCATTGGTTTAGTTATTGATGGGAAGCCTTAAGGCCTACACCTAAGGCCCCACAAAGGCACCTGTTATAACTAACACGGTTTCTCGGATATATATATATATATACAAGTAAAACGCGACATCCATTTTACATCTGCCATGCTAAAGATGGCAGTGGCACACCTGAGTACTTAGAAGTTAATCTTGATTGTGAGCCTCAAGGCCTACACTTAAGGCCCCACAAAGGCACCTCTCAAAGTTAACGCCGTCATTCTCTTCCAGCCTTGCCCGACAAGCCGTGCCTGACGAGTCTTGCCCGATAAGCCTTGCCCGACGAGCCTTGCCCGACAAAGCCTGACAGTGAAGCAGAAGCTCGACAGCAGCCCTCAACCGGCGCCAACCTCCCGGGGAGCTGTGCGCTCGTCGGCCAGGAAACGTCCCCGACGGAAATTCCTGACGCGAACAACTCGAGTAGCATAGAGCGTGTTTGATGGAACCTTGCACCCCACTTTTACCCACCCAACTTAGACTCCACTATGACCAATCATGCCCTACTTAATTACAAACCCACGTTAACCGTCTCGACTCACTCACATTCTTTTTTACTCTTGTACAAATCAAAACCTACATTAATTGTCATTTAGTACTTCAGTTTAGTGGTATTCCTCTTCACTTGTAAGTGAGAGAACTGACACACCCCGTTCCGAAGGAGGGCATGTTGGCCGTCACGTGAGAGTGACGTAACCATTTACACAGTTCGAAAGCTTTAAAAATACAATTACTAAGATGAAACACCCGAGGGTGAGTCCTACTTTTGTGAATTCTGTCAGAACACCGTTGGATTCCTCGTGGCCACCAAAGCTCTGCTATCTAGAACCTGGAGGGGCGCAAAAACAAAGTTTTTCAAAAACATTTCATTTAAAACATTTCTAACCCCTCGTTGTAAAACTTGTATATTTTCCCAGAAAATAACATAATAGCATATACCTTCAAATATCTCAAATCATCAATCTTTATCAAAACCAGAAAGTATGTCATGCCATAATGTCAAAAACAGAATATGGATGTATCAATATAACAAGTGAAATAAGGAATCAACCGGAGCCAGCATGCCCTCCTTCGGGACGGGGTGTGTCATCTTATGTTTGATTTTTTCCAAAGATGAATTTGAACTACATTAAAACCAACCTAAATTAATTATTATTAAGGAAACTTTAACAAAAAGTTTCTAATACTGTTTATTTTAACGAAAACCAATATTTTTACACTAAAAAGTCAATCCTGATACTATTTATTTTACCTTTTATTTTATCCTTATCGTAAAAACTCAAAATTTTGAAGCTTTGTTTTTTCATTGAGTTTTCCTTATTATTAAACCTTTTGAAAGTACAGGAATTTGTTTCCAGGACATTACCCTTCCCGTGATTCTTTTGGTTCCTCCTCCAACGAACCAGTAGACAACCCACCTGATACGCCCGCCGCGAATTTCAATTAGCAGCTTGGTTGGGCATGCCGAAATCCTCTCGATTCCTGAATCTAGGGCTGGGATTCTTATCCAGGTCAATCGATTCTTCAATTTTGTCCACAAGAATTGTTCAGTTGTGAGCTGAGCTGCTGACGATCATCAAAAACCACCAGCTGTTAGCAGTAACCAAGATTTTATCTGGGTATGCCGTTTATGTGTTTTTATATTGTGGAAACTGGGATTGTGGACTTTGAACCAAGCTTGTAACTTTTGGATTGCTGATGCTTTCGTTTTTGTTTTGGTGGAACTAGGATGGGATTGGGATTGGGATTGGAGTTCTTCAAGTTTTGGTATTGGATTTCCATGTATGGTTTTGGTTTTGTTGAATCATATGCTTATATTCCATAATTTATTCTCTTGGAATTTTGATGATGTTTTATTAATTGGGTTTCTGTATTTTTCATAATCTTTCAGCAGATAATTATCATATCTAGCAGACACGAACTATAGAATGAAAGTGCTTTCGTTTATGGCGGAAATGGTTTCCTCACACCTCTGTGTATTTCTGGGACCGAAATGGGCGTGAGGAATTTGTTTCCCTTTGTTCAATCAAGAAAACCTGGCAATCATTGGTCCCGGTACTTGTATGTATATAGACAAGTGTAATATTGCAATTAAAGTTTTTTTCGTTTTTAATGTTGCAGCACTGAGAGCTCATAGGTAATGGAGGACCTCAAAGAGAGGCTGCTTCCACCAAAAGTCCCAAAACCTGCTTCAGCTGTAAACCTTCGCGAAGCATCTTATCGACCATCTGCACTTGGAAGGCAACCTTTTCAAAGTGTGGATGTTCTGGGGCTGAAGAAGCGGGGCCAGGGTCTTCGGTCCTGGATTCGCGTTGATACGTCTGGCAATTCTCAGATCATTGAGGTTGATAAGTTCACTATGATGCGTCGTTGTGATCTTCCTGCCCGTGACCTACGGCTGCTTGATCCTCTATTTGTTTATCCTTCAACCATCCTTGGAAGAGAGAAAGCTATTGTGGTTAATCTAGAGCAGATTCGATGTATTATTACGGCCGATGAGGTTCTACTTTTGAATTCCCTTGATAGCTATGTATTACAGTATGTGGTGGAGCTTCAGAGAAGATTAACAACAAATGGAGTAGGTGATGTTTGGCAGTCTGATGGTTCTGACTTAAATCGGCAGAGGGGAAATAGAAATTTTGATAGTGTGTTTGGGAGCACATCTCCTGATTATTTGCCCTTTGAGTTTAGGGCTTTAGAAGTTGCTCTTGAGGCTGCCTGTACATTTCTTGATTCTCAGGTATTTAAAAGAGCACAAGAATTTAGGTTCACTATCTCTCCTTATTACTAGATGTGGATGATGACTATTTCCTTGAGTGCATATTTCTAAAAGTATTTGGATAAATTTTCCTTCTAAAAATTGATCGGATTCTGCATTATAGGTGTTTTAACGGATAACTATGAAATTACAGAACAGTTGAGTGCATGCCAAAATAACCATATCTGTCACATTTTGTTTAGCTCAAGTATATAGGGTCAGTCTTTTACGTTGCTCAAGTATATATCGTCAGTCTTTTACGTTATATATCATGTTTGGTCATTGAAATATGGTGCTGTCCGTCGAATGCAAAAATGTTCTCTGTTTTAGTGGGATACTAGGTTATGTTGAATCATACTTCTGCTAGCCTTTTATTTTACAGTGATAGGTCAAGGGTTCTGTGTACCCTTTTGTCCAGGTATTATTGTAATACCAAAGATTGTTATTATTTAAGATAAAGTTTTTGTTTTTTGTTATTGTTTTTTCTGCTTTTCTTTGTCTCTACTGGATGCCAAACAATATTATGGTTGTACTCGTTCACTAGTTGAAGAGATGAAGTTGCTGAGGATACCGAAAGTCAGTGAACTTGTAAAGACAGTCCATTACATAACGATGGATATAGTTTTGAGGTTGGTGCCTTATTGGTGACTGATAATGATACTTGCCGAATTGCCACAGCCGGTTATGTGCTTAAATTTTTTTTCGTGATGATTGGAGCTAAGCACTTGGTGCTTGTTACTTTGAGGACCTTGTGTGCCTTACATTTTATTCATCAGGCACTCAACATAGCGCTATCTGTGGTGCGTTGTTTCAAAATGAAAACACGAGGCTTTAGACAGTGAAAACCAATGATGACTTGAATAATCTTTTGCTGTTGACTCTTTGTATGATTATGGTCATCAAAATAGTGTTCCATTTATTCACAGTTGTTTTGTTTGGTTATCCTTCTACAATCCATGTATACTTATGTGATCATATTGGAATTAAGTAGAAAAATATCTGCTGTGGTATCTGAATTAATAACACAACTTGTATCTTTTTGCAAGTCCACGATGGGATTATAGGACCAAATAATTATCATGCCTGATGTACCTGTTACTTGTAGTTATGCAATTACTGCTCACGTTTTTATAAATAATTAGTAAGTTACGGGAGGTCGAGTGAGCCTTTTCAAATTAAATCAGCACCACCCTTCTCTAGTATTGGTAAGTGGGCATGAGACAGTGCAGACTTAGTTGGGAAACAAGAAATGAGTTATTCATTTGTCCCCCTGTATTTTACTTGTAGTTCAACGTTTAGCATCTCCTTTTAGATATATTTCAGCACTCTTTAGAATTTAGAGTTGCAAACTTGGGGAAATCCCACAGGGAGTAATATACCAAACGTTGATGGATGCTATTAATTACAAAGTTCCTTTGTTTAATGTTGTTGATTACAGCAATTTCCATTTCGCCAAAAGAGATATTGCATTCATTTGTACGTTGATGTTTTATTTTTTCAATTTTTTGCATCGTTTTTAATCTTTCAGAGTTCAAGAAATGCCAATTATTGCTATTTTTCTGCTTGGAGAGCTGTTTTTGTCAAAACAAAACTACTTGTTTTTGTTTCTCAGTTTCTAGCTTTAGTGTTCAGCGGACTTACTGTCCTCTGTTTACATGGATTTGTTATATTTCCAGTATGCTCACTGATCATTAATGCTCTACACAATTTTGGAAGACACCATCTGTAGTTTGAAGTATGAACTTGGATCGTGTCCTTGACTCCTTGGTGGCCAAACATTCTCCGAGTTAGCGACTCATTTATTAATGGTGTATTGTATAGGCAGCCGAATTAGAAATTGAAGCATATCCATTACTGGACGAGCTCACGTCCAAGATCAGTACACTGAACTTGGAACGTGCTCGTCGTTTGAAAAGCAGACTTGTTGCCTTGACTCGGAGAGTTCAGAAGGTATTGCATCTTTATCTTTATCTTTATCTCACTTATTAGCTTCATCATGCTTAAGCCACCAAATGTCACCAAAACTGCATTCCGATGTTTGAGTTGCCTCTGTTTAGGTTCGTGATGAAATAGAGCAGCTCATGGATGATGATGGAGATATGGCTGAGATGTACCTGACTGAGAAGAAAAGTCGCATGGAGTCGGCATTTTATGGCGATCAATCTATGATGGGGTACATATCTACTGATGGTGCATCTCTTTCTGCTCCTGTTTCTCCTGTATCTTCACCTCCCGATGGCCGAAAGCTTGAGAAAAGCCTCAGCATTGCAAGGAGTAGACATGAAAGCATGAGGAGTTCAGATAATGCTACAGAGAGTATAGAAGAGCTTGAGATGTTGCTGGAAGCATACTTCGTCGTCATCGATAGCACCCTGAATAAGCTGACATCGGTAAGTATAGGACTTGTTTAATTGAACTTGATACTACTATATATATCAATGACTAAATCTAATCATTCCCTTGTCATATTGACTTGACAAGGTCACAAGCTTATATCATTTCTCTGCCATGTCTCAGTTGAAAGAGTACATTGACGACACTGAAGATTTCATTAACATTCAACTGGTGCGTACCTTGTTTATTTATTTAATTTTTTCATGTGGATAAACGTCTCTCAATATTGCCTAAAACATTGTTCAACGTAACCTGAACCTAGGAAGAGAGGAAAAAAAACACGGAGACACACACATTGAGTATTACAAATATTTCCGTTTGAGGCAATTATTTACTGAAACGTTTCCTCAGAATGTAGGAGGGTTGTATACTTGAAATTGTTGAGCAACTCTCTATCTGTTCTTAGTCATTTAACTCTGCTGCTCCTTGGCCGAAGATAACAAAGATGTTGGATGTTTAATTTCTGCCCTAGTTTCCTCAAATTTTGTTTGTATTGGGGGAACATAAATTTAACAAAAGAAAGGTTTTCTGTCAGGATAACGTTCGAAACCAGCTGATTCAATTCGAGCTACTGCTCACAACTGCGACTTTTGTTGTTGCGATATTTGGGGTTGTGGCCGGGATCTTTGGGATGAACTTCACAATACCGATGTTTGATGAGCCTGCTGCATTTAAGTGGGTACTTATAATTACAGGAGTAACTGGCTTTTGCATATTTGCTGCATTTGTGTGGTTCTTCAAGTATCGAAGACTGATGCCACTATAGATGTAAAATTAAACCTCAATCAAGGATAATGGAAAATTCAATTTATTGCTATTCTCTATGTACGTTTCTCTTATTAATCGAAAGTCCAGGTACACTACCGTTTTCCCTGGTCTTGATTAACAAGGATGGAGATCGGAGACCGGAGACCGGAGACCGGAAAACGAAAGAGGAAAGCGTCGTAAGTGCAGGGCAACTGAAAATTCTGGAGTCACAAGCATCCAGATAATGTTAGTGAAGGGAAAATGCTATGTTTTAAGCAATCCGTGCAGAGATATAAAATGGTGGCCTTTTAACTTCCTTTTGTTTTCGTCCTTTATTTTAGATGAAAAAACCTTGGAACTTGGCAATCTGATGAGTATGACACCGCATAATTTTGAGCTGTTATCTGGACGGGAGATGGAGATGGGGAAAAAAGAGAAATTTTGTTCGGACCCAACATTTCTTTTTCTAAGCTCCAACTTATATAACTTTTTACCTTGAAATTTCTGTTCTACCCCCATTTGTCTAGAAAGATAAAGCCATAACCTACCGATTGTGAGGTTAAATCCACTCCTTTTATCTTAATGTACATAATATTGTTTGTTTTTTTTTTTAAATAAATATAAAACAACCAATTAATGAAAATGCCTCGGATTACCCCATACCAACCCCTCCATTAAAACAATCCTACTCCAATCCTCGACTGCCGAAACTGTGTCATTCCTGTTGAATGATTTAAGCTCACTGAGTGGTAAATGGAGGTGTGTGAATAGCACCGCCCCAAACAAATTGGCTTAATTTGATGATATCTATTAATTGCTCTATTGTTATGATGTTGAAGTACTGCTTCTATATTCTAGTGGGATGAGGTGAGTTTGGCTGGGTTTCATTTTCGTTTTTTTTTCCTTTCTAAATGCATTTTGTATGTGGGATAAAACAGAGATTCAACGTAAAGAAAGTTATAAATTGGGTTTAGAAAGAGAAATTCTGTCCGAACAAAATTCCCGAGAAAAAAACCAGTTTCCATTCCCCTTCGCAACGTTAAAAACATCAATTACATCAACCAAACAACAAATTCGACACCCACACCTCGGAGTGCAATTCAACAAAATTAATAAAACTGATGCAGGAATTCTATGTTTTGGTTCAACAGTCTGGAAACTCAAGTATTTAACCCAAAAGTTTACATAAAATGCAAGCTCCAGATGAGAACAAACAGAGCCTGTTGCTTGCTAGTTAGAAATCAAAGGAATTCCTGACATGGAAGGATCATGGATGCACCTCAACATGACAAGAAACACAACCTAATTATTCATAACGATTCCTCATAACCGTAAATTTGTATTTATCAAAACAAAAGTAAACAGAACAACCATTACTCCTCAAGGACCATGAGAAGCCACTCTTCTGGAAAACGGGTCGAAGAAGGCAAAAAAACCTATTGCACCTTCCAAGTTGCAACCATTATGAAAAACCAGAGTAAAGTTACACACCTTCAACATAAAACTCGTGAAATCATTTAGCAGCGGCGGGTGTCCCTGAAGAAAGTCTTTCACTCCTTGCCTTATCAGCTTTTTCTAAGTAGTCTTGATGAGATTGGTGCTTTGCCCCTACAGGGAGGGAGAACACAAATGGAATTAGACTTGGCCGATAACAAAAACACATGGTTAACAATATCAACAGGTAACGGAAACAAAATCCGATAGCGGAGTCTGAAATCACTCTTGCAAGGTACATCATGAGTTATAACCATTCAATCAAAGCTTTACACTCAGATATCAACAAAAGAAACTGCCATGAAATCGTTAACATGTATTTTGCAAGAATATGGTGAAATCAAAGTGGCATAATGCTGTGGGAAATAGCCCTTTCTTTTCACACAACAGACGAGCAGAACAAAATGCTACTGAAGTTACTGGAGACCCAAATTTTTAAGAATAATTGGAAAAATTAATTCATAAATGCAAATTAATAGAAATTTCCACTGCTCAGATAGCGTAACCCAAACCTAATTGTTAACTGAATACATATCAAGGCGACTCGACCCGCGTAATCGATTAACAGGAACCAACGAAACTGCTACAAATTTCAAATGATTCCGGGAAAATTGATTTCAAATGATCCCCAATTTACACATTTCCAGTGTTTGGTTGCCAAGAAAAGGTAGGAAAATTCGAAAAACTAAATTCGTAGTTGTAATCACTAGAACCCAAAAACAGCGGCGTATAAATCGAAAGAGAAGTGAAGAGATACGAACCTCGATTCATGAGGTACCAAGGAACGGCAAAGACGGCGCTGATAATAACGAGGCCTGCAAATACGTGCTTCTTCTCACCGCTGTACAAGTAGTGCTCCATCCTCGCCCTAAATCCCCTTCCACCACCGCCTCCTCCTCCTCCGGGGGCAGTTGCGCTACTGGTTTTGGCCTCGCTGCTCATTTTCTTCTGCCTTCTAGCACTCTTTCGTTCCCTTGCGGTTTCTTTTGTTAAACTCAGGCTCGGCTGTCTTCTCGTGTTTGGCCGCGGGGTTTTAATTCCCAAGGTTATTTCCAATCGAGGTTGGTATATCTAGGGGTGGATTTTTTTGCCAGATTGCCATACCAATCGAATTGCCAAACGTGCCATATTGATTTTGTGCCAAATTTTTTGTGCCAATGGTAATGGTACGGTATTGTACCGTACCGAAAGTTCGTGGTACGGTATTGGTAATGGATACCATTACCACGGTATTACCATACCGTACCGAAAATATAATATAATATATAATTTATATAAATTATATAATATATAATTATAATATAACACATATTTATAAATTATAATATATTTTCTTTATTTGTTAAATGGTTTTCAACTTTAATTTTTCTTGCTACTAATATGTTTTCTTCGTTTGTAATATAGGCTTGACACAAACTCAATCTTCTACAAGTTCAATGCCTCCTCCAAAAGCTTCGACATCTTAAACTTGAAGAATTGATCAATGAATTTTACCTTTTGAAGTTTAGTTTCAATTTTCCTTTGGTTTGAAACTTTAACTTCTATTTGAATTGTTAACTTCTATTTGTTTTGGTTTGTAACTTCTATTTGGATTGTAAACTTAATTTTCATTTTGATGCATAATTTGAATTATTGTGTGTGTGAATTATGAATGATGAATAATAGATGAATTTAGGCTACAATTTAAATTACTGCTTTATGTTTCCATTCTTTGTTTTAGGCTTATAATTTTCAAGTAATTCATCAACATTTCATGCGGCTGTAAATCCATTGAAGGTGGAAATCCAAAATCCATTTGGGCACTTGTTATAAGAATTTTCTTCCGTCTATACATTTGGTTTATATATCTTTGTCTTATTACAGAGGCACAAAATATGAAATGTTGAACAAAGCAAAAACAGATTTTGTCTCAAAATAAAGTGGCAATTACCATTGCCATACCATGCCTACCGAACATTTGGCAATACCGAACTTCGGTATACCGAAAGTTTGGTATGGTAATGGTAATAGTTTTTACCAAACCGAAAATTTGGTACGGTAATTGGTACGAGGGTTTTGGTACGGTAACCGTACCGAACCCACCTAGGTATATCTCATTTTAGCCTTCTTGCCTTCAAAAAAATTAATATTTTAATAAATAATGCAAGGTCATATTTTTTATCATCTTCAACCGAGAGCCAAAGGGTTATAGAGCTCGTTTTAGCCTTGTCATAAAAAACCGTCTTCAATCGAGCATCAAAGGTTCATAGGATTAAACATAATTTATTATTTAAATTTAAAAACTACAACTTATATTTAAAAACTACAACAACTTAAATTTAAAAACTACAACAATTTAAATTTAATATCTAAAATCATCATTATCTTCATCATCCGTCATTGTAGGAGTATAGTCGGAGGTAAATAACTGTCGTCGAGTCATAATTTCTTTTCTTTTCCTATCAAAATAGGCCTTACTCATTGGAGTGTAATTCGAAGTGTTCCTTTCCATATTCTTATCATTCATCTCTTCTTGTATTTGTACACTTTTTCGTGACCTTCCACTGTGGTAGGCTCCACCGTTTATGACTTGTACACCGCCTTCACCCTATCATGGGGGAGTGCAAAGTGCATGCTTATACTCAGGAGGAGTTTATTTAAAACATTTGATGAGGTTAAGGTAGGCAACGAGTGTGGCCAACATCGTATCATCGTGAGGTCATGCTTGAACCCCTATCTAAACCGGCATGGTGGGAAAGAACTTAACTAAGAGAAATGATGCCAACATCGTATCATCGTGAGGCATTGTTCTCTAGAGGCTAAAAAGATAGGTAATCACAAGAGGTTGTTGTGAATGGGTAAGTGTACCCTCTCATTATTATTTTTGCTAGCCAACATCGTATCATTGTGAGGTGGGCTTGGTAATAGTGAGCCTCCCATAACCCGCTAGGAGCTTTCTTTGAAAACTCCCGGATTCCATCTTGAGGGATATGGAATTTGCTAAAAAATGGTGGGTGGTGTCATTCGGTTTAAAGACCCGAATCGTTTGACTTAATCGACAATCAAACTAATTATTTTATTGTTTATGTATTTAGATATGGTTGGAAGCACACTCGCGAAAATACTCGACAAACATTGCCTAGAGGGGCACAATTTCCCATCGTGGTATCGTAATGTCAAGATTCTCCTAACATTGGAGAAGATTGTTTACGTACTAGACAAGGCTCCACCTCACATACCTCTCGGCCCTGAGGCTACTGAGGATGAACGTGCTAAGTATGACAAGCACGTTGAGGATGACACACAAGCCAAGTGCTATCTGTTGGCTTCCATGAATGAGGAGCTACAGAGACAGCACGAGGGCATGGACAGTGCATCTTCCATAATACTCCATCTTACGGAGTTATATGGTGAAGGGACGCGCAACCGTCGCTTTAGCACTGTCTGTGAGCTTGTGAAGACCAAGATGGTCAAGGGGGCTCCAGTACACCAACATGTACTGAAGATGATAGGATTCATTGAACAATTGGAGAACCTTGGTACTCCACTTGACGGGGAATTGGCCCAGGACTTCGTATTGGCTTCTCTTTCTGATTCATTTGTGCAGTTCGTAATGAACTACAATATGAATAAGATGGATAGTACTCTCTCTGAGTTACTAAATATGTTAGTAACTGCCGAGAAGACTATGAAGAAAGAGAACGTTGTAGGGACTTTTGCAGTAGCCTACAACAAGCCATCCTCTTCCAAGGCCAACCGCAAGGCAAAGGCAAAGGGAAAGAGAAGAAGTCACCCACTCCTAAGCCGAAAGGAGGAGTGAAGAAAAAAAGGCAATGGAACCCAAGGGGACTTGCCACCACTGTGGAAATGAGGGGCATTGGAAGAGGAATTGCAGGTTATACCTTGCAACTCTTAAGGACAAGCCACAAGGTATGGTTTATGTTCTTATCTTCAATTCTAAATGTTAGATCTTCTAAATATTTATATTTGATATAAAGGGCTAATCACTTGTATAATTGTATATAGGTGGAGGAGCCAAGTAGAAGAGGAACAAGCAAGGAAAAATGTGGAGAAGGGTTCGGCCACTATGTTTTTTGCTCACTACTTAGGAAGTTTGTTAGGCATTAAAGATTGTCTTTAAACTTTCTTATTTTGATAAGAACTTATTATGTGGCTTCATATGATGGAATACCACTATTAGTGCCTAAATGTATAAAGGTATTTAAATTAGTCTCTAAATGTATAGAGCTAATACTTTTTGTATTAAACATTATGAATGTTTGAATTATCATATTAATGTAATGTGAAGAATGCCTTTTTAATATACTATTTCCTTAAAGTAGTGTTATGAATTGAAAATTGTCTTGTTGTATCCTAGATGAGATACAAGAGTTATATCACTTATTGTAATGTGATAACCAAACTTTAGATTTATCAATTATGGATAGATCTCACATGTAGGACATAAAAGGATACAATGAATCTTTAGATTTGGTTCCATTTGTCTACCTATAAGTTCTATATGAATTGACAAAAGTCTAGAGTATCCTTTCTTGAAGAAAAGGAAGATCACATTATAATGATATAAGTAATAAGAAAAACGTTTCTTATATGGTTACCACTTGAAACACAATGATCAAGATCACTCTTGATTCAATTAGTAGTTTTGAACAACTAATTGGGCATTCTTTAAAAGGTTTTAAAATGTCAATTGTGTTAGTGATTAAACCAAGAAAGAAGTATCTAAATCTATAAAATGTTTAAAGACTTTAGTCACTTAATAACAAGACATTAACTTAGTGAAGATTGAAACAAATAAGCTTGAAATGTTTTAAAGCTACTACACAATGTCTTCTTCCAATATACTCCACTTTTATACATTTTTGAATGTATGAAATGATTTCTCATTAAAGTCATGAGAAATAGTGGGAGGTGTGAAAATGGATATAAACTTGAATGTGATTGGTTTATAGTTGTCTAAAGAATAATAGTACTTGACTATTATTAAAAGTTTGTAATTTTAATTGTTAAAAGGACTCAAGCTCTTCAAACGTCTATGTTGTGTGACATTCTAAAGAATAGTCTTTGAATGTTGGTTTCGTCAACCTAGCATAAAATGGTTATATGTTGGGAGTTGTCCATCATTCTCTTTTATGAGAACAAGCTAAATAACTAAGCATATGGACAAGTTGATGAAACAAAAGGGAAATAGTTTCAAAATGAGTCGCAACATATGGTTTAACAACAAGACAATCCAAATTCAACATCTCATGTAACTACAACGCTCTATGTAGTTTTGATAAAGAATTATATCAACCACCTAGAAGGAATGGTTGAGTTTCTATATCCTTAGTAGGAGCCATGCTTCCACTAAAGACTTGGATAATTCTTATATGACTACATTAAAGGTCTTAGTATGACTAAAACTTGAAGTATGGTGTATGACACCATATAATTTAAATGAATAGACTTAATGAAACAAGTCACACATTTCAAATGGAATCACTTGAGAAGGAATTCTTTTGTGTATGATTCATTTAAGTTAAGTGGGAGCAATATGCATTCAAATCAAGAAAATATAATTGTTATTTTTGAATGAATGCTAAGTTACAACAAGGCCAGTGGGAGTGATGTCATAATTTGAGCAACAAGATGTGAATAAAGTCTATTTGATAGACTTGATAAAACATAGATGTTACTCGAGAAATGACAAAACATGACAGTCAATTTTGAAGTATAGACTTGAAATTGGACTTATTGATATAGCAAGGCTATCTCAAGGATATTAAATAGGGAAATTAAATCTCAAATGTTGTAGATTTAAGAAAGCATTTTCCTATGTGATAGGAAATCACTTTCATAACCCTTATAATGAATGTGTCACAAAATCACAAAAGGGACACATGTATGGACTTGTGAAGTAGATATCCAAAAGTGAAGAACCACAGGGGTTGTCACTATAAGATATTACTAAATCCCAGGATCAGAACCAAAGCAACTGAAAGAGTATTATTGCCTTTAAAGAAAGAAACATCAGAGTGGGACTTTGGAAGCGTGC